CTAGTTTGTGGAGAAACCAAATTGTCACTGCCTCAGAAGATCACACCCTGAATGGCCATGCGGTGCTAGAGGTGACATCTGGTGGCAAGTTGAAGAAAGTATCCAGTTTACATGGTCACATGGAAGTGCCTATGTGTATTGCAATATGGGAAAACAAGGTACACGTTTCTCCCATTTTTTCAATTTTTTCAACTAGAAAAGAAAGCTGTGGGTTATTTATGAACCAAATTTGTTTTCCATGAATTTGAATAATTTCACTGTTTTGTGAAATATATTATTTTAAGATCAAGGAATGAAATTAGTAAATAATCAGCATATAATTATTTAACAGGTGCTCTCAGGGGGTTATGACCAAATGTTGCTCCGCTGGACAGTGGACAGTTCAGCTCAGGGACATAATGATGACTGCACTATGGTGTGGGAGTTTGACAGCTGGATAGCAAAGCTCATCTACAGGGATACACTAATTATTGTGTTAACAGGTAAAGTAATGTGCTTAAGTATTATATATGATATATTTATGCAGTCAGTTTTTCCATTTTCGTCGATTTCTATGATTAAAGTATTTCTTTTTTCTTTTTCTTTATAATTTGCAGGTAAAGCATTGAAGGTGATTATAAATTTCATGAGAATTAGTGTATTTTTTAGTTGAGAAATATTGAAGGTTTTGCTTATTCCTGACACTACTGCCTTTCTCCACACAGTATTGATAATGCCACTTCATTCCTAGTATTTTCTTGTCACTCTTTCTGTATCATCATTGCTTTGCCATGCTAGCCAACCACAACAACCGCAAAGTACTGATAATGTCACTATTCCCAGTAAATTCTGTATCATCTCCATTCCCAGTAGTTACTGTATCATGTCTGTTCTGCAATTCCAGGCAGCCACAACAACCACAAAGTACAGATAATGTCACTTGATTCCCAGTATTTCTGTATCACCTCCATTCCCGGTATTTCTGTATCAACTCTATTCTGCCATTCCAGGCAACCACGGCAACCACTAACTACACATAATGGTGCTTGATTCTCAGTATTTCTGTCATATTTCCTTACATAACTGCCCATCTGTGAACCCATTAATTGTTATCATCACCATTTATTACTGTCTTTTCTAGGGGACCACATACTACACGTCAGCATTGATGATGGTGCCTGCTTTTCCAGCTGGAATGTGATGGAGGCTCTTGGCTCCACGGCTTGTGTGATGTCACTGTGGGGAAATGTGTTTGCATTAGGGACTGCTGTAGGTCCGTAGTGAGCCTTGATAAGTTCTGTCTTTTTACCCTCTGCTTAAATGAATCCAAGAGTATGCCTGTCTTTTGTTTAGCAAAAAGATTGATCTTTGACATTCTTACTTGTGGCATTAAAAAGTGTTGATTTAATTTCAAGATCAAAAGTGCTCTTAGGCATTTTAAGTTCTCTCATCATCATTTGATACTGGTCAACCTTGCTAATATTTATTAAAACCCATTTTTAAAATTATTATCGATAATTTTTTCTTGAATATTTCTGTCATGTGTACCTCCATCCTCTAATGGTAATTCATGTTCCAGGGCATGTTCACCTGTTCTACATAGAGGATGACAAAGATTTCCTGCAGCTGGACCTTACCCAGGCTACCTCAGTGGTCAAGACGGGCTACAGTAACATCAGTGCACTGGACTTTGGTGACAATGGGTTTGGACCTTGTGCTGTCATAGCAACAGACACAGGGAGAAAACTGAAAGTTGTGCATTGGGTCTCCACACACTTATCATGATAATTGTTTTTAAGGGTTCGTGCAATTTAGTTCTTCATATTAGGAGATTTATTTTCATTTTTGAGATATTTTATATCAGCCTGAAAATTGAAAATGAAGTAGAAGACGAGATGTTTTATGGAGATGGAAGTTTGCTCTTATATTTTATTTTTAAGCAATTAAAATGTGGCATTGCACACAAACGTGTGATAAAAGACGAGAAAGAAAATGTCACACATTCATGAATTCATTCCTGTTCATTTTTAATTACAATTTCAGAATGAAAACTGTTAGGTGTTCTTTGATTTATACAGTGTACTGGGTCTATCAACATTTTCTGTGATTGGGTACATTTTAACTTAGTATTTTCTTTTTATTTGTTAAAATACATTTCATGCATTTTGAATTATCTATCCAACAGTGATAATGCTTATCAAAGATCACTGTCTTGTCTGAACTTAAGTGATTTAACATGTTTGTTGTTAGAAGCAGTTTTACTAAGTATGAGACTGTAGACTGACATTTTCAGAGTTTTATGTATTCCAGCTTAGACAAGACAAGCTTACTTTTTGTTCTCTCAGGAGGTTACTTGACTTCAGTTTATTTTATGAAATAAAGGCAAATAATCTTATTTGCTTGCATAGTTGTAACATTTTTGTTCCTCGTGTTCTTCGCTAATCCACATAAGGCCTGTTACTTTTTGTTGTAATTTAAATGCGGTTTGGATCACCCTGGACTTTTTTTATCTTCTCTGGTCCCAATATCCTTCACATTTTGAGGGCAATAAAAAGCCTTCAAGTGTTAACTTGTGATTTTCCTTCTTTTTCCTCACAGGACCCTTGTTTCAGGAGATGCTGTGCTCTATGGCTGCTATGTCACCGTGGAGATGCTGCAGTTTTCTTTTTGTATTGCACATCCCCAACACATTTCTGCATGAGCAAGTCTTTGTAGCGGGCCCACGTTTCCTTCCTCTGTAATACACCCTTACTCTCGTCCACGGACAGGTACTCGCGGATCTGGGGAAATAATGTTTCAGATTGAAGTGGGGCAAGGTATTGGAAGCGGCATATAAGATTTTGGAGCGAAGAACTGTTACTGGCCTGTTGAAAAAGTTCTATTCACTTGTCAACTATTATTCTGTGAGAATTCGCAAGACCCTGTAAGTATTTTACGGCGAACAATAACGGTGTCTTCGTACATCTTGAGTGTCAAGTAAAACATTTGACTATATTTTAATTTGGTATGCAGTTTTATGAATATTTACCATGGTTTCCAGCTTAATCATGGTGTTGTTCTCAGCGTTCTGCAGGAAGAACCTCTTGTTGATACGAATCACCTCTGCTCCGTCGCTGATCTGAGAGTACCAAAACAGACGTTGATAACTTAAACTTCGTTAAGTCAGTCAGAAAGACGGACAATTAACATAATTTAGCGGTAACAGTGCATAAGTAGAATACTCTTAATCTGCTCTTCGAAAAGGTATTTATTCTCACTTAAGAATGTCTGGGTACCATACTAGCATCTTTAAACCGTGGACACTAAGTCACTTATACTTACCAGGCAATATCCTTTTATAACCGGCTCCCAAGATTTTGGTTTACGCATTTGTTCTAGACCCTGTCGTGGAAAAGATAACAATTAAAAACGTCCTTGACAAATTTGTGAAGAAACTGTAAAATAGATAGGACATGGAGCATGTACATTTTAAAAATTAAGTCTAACTCGATACAGTGTCACTAGAATCTCCATTGGTAAAACCATCCGTAGTCCTATAACTAATAACGGTAGATAAAGACAAGACATACATATTTTATTGTACGTTAAAGCGTTTATAGGTGATGCGACCTCACAAAACTCGCCATCTCTTAATATTGCTCATATATCCCGCCCACTTACAATGATGTCCCCAGGCCCCAAGTGGTCCAGTTGTACGCAGGCTTGTCGGTGTTTATCTCCGTCTTGTTTCTGCCGCCTAGGTCTAAAGTGTTTGTCTATTTCGGTGTGCTCTTTGGTGAGGAACAGTCGGCCCGACGCCACTGGGATGTGAATTGGAGGGAAAATGCGACGCGAGCCCTATAACAAACCGTAATAGATATTATTAGTTAGCGAGTTTTTTTTGGTAGTGATACGTTTTGTTATATATAATACAACGGGCTGGGGAGATGTTCCATGTGTTTGCTTTTATTTTCTGCAGTTGATTGTCATGTCACTTTAATGACCATCAGCCGGGGAGTGAGGGATGGGAGGAGGGGCGTATAGGGGAACTACTTACTCCACTTCCTGTATATCTCTTCTGGGGTTCTTCGGCGACGGACTCTAAGCGTGGTGGTAAAAATCTCCCCAGGTCGCTGTCGCTGCTTTGAGGCGAAATTTTCTTTAAATGTTCGATTTTTACGCTCTCTTTCTCTGCGTCGCCATCGTTTTCATTCGGTTCATTCGAGGCGTTATCGTCTTCTGGCGGCTCCTTGGATCCAGAGACGCATTTGGTTTTTGAGCAATTGTTTTTGGAATTAATTGGTATCTGAAATATAAGTAATAGACGATAGGATAGTAAGGCAGGGTAGTAAAGATGTGCTCTGATATTTACCGAATGTCTTTTTAAACCTATTTCTGAAAAAATATTTTCACGTTGTCGTAAGTTAACTGAATAATCATAGTAACTCTTATTTAAACTGAGAATATGAGATAAAATATCTTGATCAAATGAAGATAGAACTATAACATTACCTTTGGAAGAACTATATGGGAATAAGTTTTGATCTTCTTTTGTTGGACCAATTGTCCGGGTCCTAGCATATCTGCAATGAAAGAAAATACACCGGTCGTATGTTCTAGTAGCAAATACGAATTACATTTCCTTTTAGTCGCATTATAATCTTGACAGCAGAAGCGAACTCATTACAGCTAACTTAAGCTCGCAAGAGGTAAGTGTTCTACTGGGTATAAATGATCTCTCTCTCTCTCTCTCTCTCTCTCTCTCACACACACACACACACACAAAGAGAGAGAGAGAGAGNGGCGGGCAGCGGAGGCAATCGAATCTGGTCAGAGGTTACTTGACACGATGAAGATAGGCTACAGTGAATAGGTTAGTGTCAAGTTAGCTCTGAAGCTCAGGGTGCAGAATTGCCAACTTAATTGCTTGTTCATGTAACAAGAAGCAAAACGTGTTGTAGTTCTCCACCTGATATTTATACAATGCAGCATATAAGGCACATTAGACTGTATGTCACTTTTAATCGAAAGAATTTACAACAATGTATGAACATCTTGCTCTTTCATTGTACTTTGGTTGTGTATGAGATTGTTTAAGTATTGCAGTTGTTTCCTCATTTAACAAATCTATAAGTGTTTAAATGTGTTTTTTTCCATCTGTTTTAGGACTTTGACGGTGCACTAGATTGTATAAGTATTGCAATAACTTGTTCATTCAACAAACGTGGCACTCTGCTGGCAGTTGGCTGTAATGATGGAAGAATTGTTATTTGGGATTTTCTCACCAGGGGGATAGCCAAAGTGATCACTGCTCACGTCCATCCTGTCTGTTCTCTCAGGTACGTCCTGTGTGTGTGCATGTGAGTGCGGGCACAGGCGTGGGTGTGCATGGGTGTATATGTGTGTATACATGTGAGTGTGCTTGTATATGTTTGAATATGCATGCATGCTTATGAGACGTGCATGCATGTGTGTCCATGTGTGCATGTGTGTGTTTGGTTATATTATCTTGTGGAATTTTCAATTATTCAGGTGAAACAACAGTTCATAGGTGAAATATTTTTGACTGGTTATAAAAATATAGTTGAAAAAATATAAATTATCTTTTGAGAAATAAAGAAAATATCCCTAATGAGAAAATTAAACTTTTTAGCAATTTTGTGCATACTTTGTTTGTGACCAGTATTCATTGAGAGTATAGTAATAAATATTTTCTCTGTTCCCTTTCCAGCTGGAACCGTAATGGTCATAAACTTCTAAGTGCTTCCACAGACAATAATGTATCAATATGGGATGTGACGACTGGGGAGTGCGAGAAGTCCTACAGGTTCCCCTCCCCAATTCTTAAAGTTCAGTTCCATCCCAGAGACTGGTAAGAACACACACTCACACACACACATTTTTAAGTGTCTGTTTTTGACCTTCAGCTTTTTATCTTTAAAAAATATTGTCTTCTCCATGAATCCTTTCAAGTGACCAGCAAAAGTGAAAAGGCCACATTGACTACTTTGTATTTTCACCTCTCTTTACTCTTGTATAGAATTTAAGTGAGAATTAAAAGGAACAATATTATCATTATTGGCCCTCTATCCAAAATGGTCTGTGTAGTACTGTACAGATCTAGTCTAAGAGGAGAAAGTTATGAAAGAGGTGTTGTGAAAATGAATTGGTATATTAGACTGAATATTTAATTTTTTGGTGAAGTGTTGACCAGGAATCTTTATTTTCCAATTGCAGTAACAGATTTCTTGTTTGCCCTCTGAAACATGCAGTGGTTCTGGTCGACACAGAAAAGAAACACAAAATTATTCCACTGGACGACGAGGTAGGTGAAGTGAAGGGACTTAATGATTGTAAAAATAAGAAAAAAATTAAGAGAAAATCAGTGTTGTAAAGATAAGTTTTAATTAGTAAATTTCTATTAAACATTCACTTGAAACAAATGGTGCATAATCTTTTAAATTTAAATATTTTAACGAACTTAAGTCTGACAAAATTACTGCTTGTTACGAGGATGCAGTGATGTCTGCACTGGAATTTAAGTCCGGTAATAGATTTGAAAATATCCAGATATTTAGCTGACGCTTTCATTTTATTAGAAGTGTTAATTCATTCATCTTGAAGACGAAAAAAAGTTAACAGTGAAATATGTGTTGTTTCTGGTGAATTTCAATCTTGTGGGCTTGGATTGAACAGATCCTGAAAATGAAAAGAAATTGTAGATTCATTTTGTGTGCATGTTGGAGCTCTTAAGGATAATATTTTCTTATATTTTCTTCCAGTCTGATTTGAACATTGTGGCCTCCTTTGACAGAAGAGGGGATCATGTTTATACAGGAAACGCCAAAGGAAGGGTAAGACACAGATTGTGGACATTTTCAAATATTGATAAATGAATATTTAAATATAATAATTAAAATGTGAAAAGCCATACCAAATCTGTCATTGTAGGAAATATTCGATTAACAAAGTGTAAATATTTGAAAGATCTTCTTGGCATCTTTTCTGCCAGCTTGTCCTTAAGTTCTTTGGGTGAAATTACTCTCTTGTGCTTAATTTGATGTGGTACATGTCTATATTTCAGCTGGTGGTGCATCCTTAGGAAATGGTAAAGCCCCTCTGATCCTTTTACTTGAGTATATTGCCTGTGTATATTTCAGGTTTTGGTATTCAACGCCAGCACGTTAGAGATTGATGCCTCCTTCAGAGTAACCACGGGAACCAGTAATACCACGGCTATCAAGTCTATAGAGTTTGCTAGGAGAGGGAAGTAAGTGCATGGGGTAGCCCTGTGACTGTCCACGTAAAAAAATGTTGCATATGTGTGCATTTTCACAGAAAAACTGCCAAGACTGAAAGTTGTTTTTTTAAGACAAATTTTGGATTTAGTGCAGGAAAAATGCAAGAGATGTGCTGTGGCCAGTCTCCAAAAAAAAAAAAAAAAAAAGGACCAAAAAGTTTTGATCAGTACACATTGTAAATGTCTTGTTACTTACTTCCAGTTGTTTTCTGGTGAACTCAGCAGACAGAGTCATACGTGTGTATGAGAGTGGAGAGGTGCTAGCATGTGGTAAAGAGGGAGAGCCAGAGCCCATACAGAAGTTACAAGACTTAGTGAACAGGTAAAAACAATGATAAAACCTTTTCTTATGTAATGAAAAAAGATATTATTAACCCTTACAGGTAAATTATTATTTATTTATTTATTTATTTATTTATTTATTTATTTATTTATTATTATTTTTTTAAAGAATTGGACAAATTTCTGGAAGAAAATTTTTTAGAAAAGACAAAGAAACAGATATTGGTGAACAAAATTCTTTAATTTATAGTCCAGGCATATGTCATGAGACAAAAAAAAGAAAGAAAAAAAAAGAAATATTGGACAGAATTTACAAAGTTCTGTTGTATTTCAGAACACTGTGGAAGAAGTGTTGTTTCTCTGGGGATGGGGAGTACATAGTAGCCGGGTCTGCCAGACAACACTCTCTCTACATCTGGGAGAAAAGTATGGGAAACCTGGTGAAAATCTTACATGGAACTAAGGGGGAAATGTTACTGGATGTCGTTGTAAGTCTGTGTTAAAAGAAAAGAAAGAAAAATAAGGTGACACATTTTGAGGAATCTTGAGAGATGGCACCTTTGGTGCTATTTAAGTATTTAAATGGTTGTGTCTGTTCTTTTTGCCTAAAGAATTCAAATTTCTAAACAGTGTCTAAAGAATTTTCCATTATTTCCCTTGGAGATAAACCACTCCGTCAGTTAATAGAATCTGGGGTTGCTGCACAGGGATGAAATATTTTCAAATCATGTGGAGGAGAAAATGTTCATAGTTCTATTATTATTATTATTTTATTTCTAGTGGCACCCAGTGCGGCCAATTATAGCCTCTATATCCAGTGGAGTGGTTTCCATATGGGCTCAAAATCAAGTGGTCAGTTACTGATTCACATTATTTCAGTGTTCTTCTAAATATCAAAATTATTGTTATAGATTTATGTTGAAGAAAAGCATTAATTTTTTAAATAACTAAAAATTTGTAATGAATAAATGTAAACAAAAGCTTGTGTAGCTATTTGTCATACATGCAAAGAAATAAAAGTTGTAATCTGTAATTACTACTCAAAATTATTTTAAAGATTTCTTCATGAGAGTTGCAAAGGGAAAACAAATAAAAATTGAATAACATTTGCAACAGTAATTGCATACAACAACCTCTATAAAGTCAACATCAAGAAAGATCAAACTCTCTTTACAATTATTCTTTCAGGAAAACTGGAGCGCTTTTGCTCCTGACTTCAAGGAGCTGGATGAGAATGTGGAATATGAGGAAAGAGAATCTGAGTTTGACCTGGAGGATGAAGATAAAGAGGTCCAGGAAACCAAAGGTGAGAGATAGCTACTGGGGGGTGTAGTATAGGCTGCAACAGGTGCCCTGAGGACACAAATTACAAGAACAATTAATTTGGGAAGAGAAAAATTTGTAAATTGTTCAGTGACTGTTGGAAATNTGTTCTCTGTCGATATTTCACCTCCTGTATGTCAAACGGTTAGCTGCAGGCGAAATCCCTTTTATTAATATTATTATTTATTTTTATATTAATTTAATTTTTTTTTTTTTTTTTTTTTTTTTTGCCAACTGAAATGTGTAATTTATGAATTACAAGATATGCTGAGAGGATTACACACATTACACTACCTCATAATAAAGGATGAAAACTTCCACTTGTCCCTTTGCTATCATGTTGGCCTCTCGCTCGGTTTGTCTTTTCATCTCCATTACCTGTAAAATACAAATATTTCAACTAGAAGGGTTATAATCAAAATATCAGGCTGCACAAGTGCATTTTCTTATTCTTAGTGCTTTTTAACATACACGCATTTTAAGTTTGTTATACTAAACCCTGTTATTTTATTTACTTCTTTGTAAATTCACTATCACTTTTCGGGGTGATTTATGTTATATTGAACACAAATTCCAACACACTTTCTATATGGAAATGGAAGGGTACGGCGGTCAGGGTTGCGGTCATACATGTACTTACGTCTGTGGTCATTCCCTTGGTAAGGATCCCAAAAGATCTGGTCACCTCTCCAGACTTCAGTTCGTAATGGCGTAGTATATTGACTGTAAAGAAAAAGGCCCTTTTTAACTACTTTATTGAAATATTTTAAGCTATTTGTAGAGGTAGTTAGAGTAAGTTAGTGAGTTAGTGGTCTGCATAGTAGTGATCGGAAAAACTGAAATTACCATGCAGAGAACCGAATATTTTTTTAGTACGGAACCAAGTGATATGTACGGCACATCTCTTTACATATGTTTCCAGTTTTGTACAGATCCTTTTGTTTGAGCTTTTGGTTGTAACAGGTTTTGATGTACTCTATGTTTATGGCATGTTTCTTACTTTTTCCTGCGATTATGTAATATAACCTCTCTGGTTTCCTACCCTGGTAGGCGATTAGACGGCCGTCGTCGTAACTGGAACATAATAATTAAATTATGATAACCAATAATACTATGGTATACTAAAGCGAATAAAGCGTTATAAAGAGAATTTTATACCGTATTTCAGAAAGATATCAGTCCTATGAATGTGTTTTAGTCTCTTAGATTGAAATGAATCAATTAATAAAATATGGAAAATAATTCTTATGATAAATGTAACGTTTAAGTTTAAAGATACAAGGTAAAAAGTGATAATGAAGTTACATGTCTCTTACAGAATGCTAAACGTAACACTGCAATTAAAGATAGATAAACGAATAGATAAGATATCAGATTAAGAATAAATGACATTTTGCTTACATTTCGTAGGCTAAATATCTGGCCAGTTCCTCCTCCACGTAGTCAGGGAAGATGTGACTGAAAGCTTTGGTGGCGCGAAGGAGGCACACAACCTGGTGTAACAACGAAGCAAAATACTTTTTACTGGTGGAGTATTAATATTATTTTGAGAATTGTTATACGTAATATCGTATTGACATAATGGTGATGATGAAGATGTATCGATATTGATAAAAAGGTCGGGCACTTATGTTTAAGTTCCTGACGTTGCTATCGTCAGATAATGAATTAAATACACACTCTTACCCTTTTTATTTGTTTATCGGATCTGAGATGAGGCATAGTTCTCAAACACATCTGGGTCTCCCAGTCGATCTGAAAGTAATAAATTCCACATAAAAACGAGTTTATTGATAAATTAATTATTGTAGCGCTGTCGTAAAAGAGGCACTTGCCCTTTCTTCAATGCCATAAAGTGTATATCTTAATTTTTAAGCAGTATCTTTAAGTAACTGCCAGAGATTTTGTGACTCTTATAAGAGTATATGACGCACTTACACTAGATCTGACGAACATGTCAGCGCTAAGCGTTTCCGTGATGACATCTTTAAATTTACTTTGTCCTTCACTGTCGTCGTCGACGCTGAAATCATCCTCAATGTAATACCTGTAACGTAACAGAACATAACACTATTCATCTCTACAATCACTTCACTGCTCAGAAAAAACTAACAATTATGGAATAAGATAAAGAAGTTGATTAAGAATAATATATATTGCACAGGCAGTTGCATTCCGTGCTTGGCGTTTAATTGACGTTGTCACCGATTATCCGTTTAATTTCTATTTCATTCTCTTTAAAAAACAGCAACTGTTTTATTTAACAGCGATTTATCATGAACAGGTGAATCAAAATCGTTAAAAAAATAAAAGTATTCAAGACAACGCACTTACTTTTTTCTGCCTGTGAACCCGTTCTTGATGAGCAAGGCAAGTCGCGCGGAATGGCGAAGACAATTTCTGGCCTGGAGCGAAAAAAAAAAAACACGTAAACCAACAACCATCTCAGATTTAATTGATTTTATGAATGAATGTGATATTTAGACATGTTCATAACTATGTAGGTCTTATATCCCTGATTTCAATATTGTACATGTACTTACCCGGTTTGCAGGACTAATCTTCTTTTTGAATTTTTTCAAGGAGGTGGCGATCCTGGACATCACGTTAAATCCCTGGAAAACAAAACAAAAAAAAAAAATGTAAAAGTCAAATGTGTTTATTTCTTACTGATTATGTTATTGTGATATTAACCAAATGGTTAAATTGTGACTCACTTCACTTTCATCCATCGTTTTTAGCATATAAAGCGAATTTCAAACAATTAATTCACTTGGCACGGGAAGTCATTCTATAAAGCGTCACTGATACAGCCGAAGACGAATACCTTAAATACACGCATTAGTTAAAGTTTGTGAACATATCACGTCGCCTTCGCTGTTTATATTTGACGAAGTGAAGGAGCAAATAAACTAGCTGCACTAAGCACTTAGTTCTACAAATAGAAACTTGCAACATAAGAGTCCTAATTATCATGATTATACCCTGTCAAGAACTGGGGAAATAGATTAAGTCATCGTGATAGCTTGGAGCAAATTTGGAAGTGCAATTTCTGGAAAAAACTTTATCTGTAATAATCTGATCAGACGCATTCCCAGGGCTTGCTGTAAAAGCAACGATTCCAACATCGAAAATTAAACCCCTGTTACAGTTTCTTCACTCTTTTTACCGTGGACTTCATCTTGGGGCCCATTTAGTCTTTTTCTTTAAACTGTTTTTATACGTAATTTAGGACTCTGCTTTGTGGGGTATGGCCAAATGGGCCCATGTAATTGACATTGGCAGTTTAGTTTCTGAATTGCACTGCCTTTACTTTATTTTTTCGTCGTTCTCAAGTATATATATGTATGTGCAATTTAAAATTCACATTGCTACTAGTTCACTCAATGAGTATCTGAAATTTACCATTAGTTGAAAAGTTTTATTTAATTCTTAGTAGAAATAAATTTATAAATATCTCCAGTCAGTATCACGTTTTAACCTGGTCAAAGCAGGAATAAACACTGTAGAATCAACGACATGTTTAGTCAACACTGCAGTGGGACATTCCAACTTTTCGGAAACTTCCACTTTAACACATGTTTGATGTAAGGTGTTTTGATAGAGTTTTCGATTTTTGTTCAATGTTTTAAGGTGTTGCGTATCGATTCTTAAAATTTTCTCTATTCTACCTTTTGATCATGTCTGTAGTAATGTCATGCATTAATGACAAGTCGAAGTCGAAGCTGGAGCCAGAAAAATTAAGAATAGCAGTATGCATTTTAATATATGGGGAAAACACTACAATTATGATGAAAATATAATTACATTTGAGTATCGAGGGATTGTACTTACAATGGCTGGCTTTGGACTAATACTGCTGGGTACGGGAGACTGCTTCGTCATTTGTTGCACTTCTTCTAATCGCCGTTTTATGGTGTCCATGGCGTCTTCGTCTGTAAATATCACGTATATATACTTTTAAGACCTAATTTCAGTTGATTTTTAAAGGTAAATGGAGGTCTTTGAACACTTTTTGATTCTACATAGAATCGTCCGTAGAGGATAGAGCGTAAGTATAGATTATATACTATACGGTATTGTATAGTTTATTATTTAACAAACCAATCACATGCAAACTAAACAACTTCCTCTCTCAAAAGATTAACCCTCTCTCTCTCTCTCTCTCTCTCTCTCTCTCTCTCCTTTACCATTTGATTGTCCCCCTTTTTGTGTATTTGAATTGCCGGAAAAACTATTGGAGGCACTGCTGAGACCTGAATCCGATCGCACATTGGGTGGAAACATAGGTGACAGTGGCTTTGGGGTAAGAAGTGTTGTATCGGGAAAAGACAAACTGGTAGATTCCCTAGACATTGTTAGGTCCTTTTTCTCTCCTACCGATTTGGCAAGCAAGAGTTGTTTCTGGTCGATGTCCGTCTTTGATTCGTTTTTCCCAGCTCTTTGAAACACAATTTTAGGACTGGTTTGTGAGCCCTCAATCGCTCCCTTTGATAACCTTTCCAGTAACGTAAGTCCCATGGCGTTCTTGATCGCTTCTTTACTGTCCGGATCTTTTAATTTTCTTGTCACTTTGTTTGAGATTCTATTTTGATTTGCACGAAGATTTTGAAGCATGTCTCGATTTCTCCTTCCTTGCCGATGCCTCCGTCTCTTCGTTGGTGGCGGTGATACCGAGGTCGAACTTAGGAAGAGTTTTTCTACCGCTGCCAGTCCTGCGGATGCCATGTTCGTTAATTCCAATTCTTAAGGTAAAACAATAATGAAAGTTGCGCACAGAAAGCCCGGTCTTTGCACAAGCCACAAGTCGCTCTACGCTAATACTCTTCCGTTGGAATCAGAATTTATCAATAATATAGGAATTACATGTGCCAGTACTTTCTTGTCAGTGTGACATCAAGCCGAATTAAATTCGCTAGCATCCAGCTTAATTAGTCCGTTGATACCATATTAAGTCGTAGACCTATCGGTGGTCGATTGGTCTAGTAGACTAAGTATTCTTTCTTCCAGGAACAATCGATAATAACCATCATCAGAACCTCAGCAACAGCAAGTTAAACGAACCATAGGTCCTTTTCTTTCTCTTAATGAAGTCACTTCATTAAGCGTCCATCACATATCGAGAATAAGTGCACTGCCTCTCTTCTTCCCTTTCTCTTCGACAGCTGTTTCTAGACGCAAAAATAGAATCCAAATCAATTTCTACAGGATACAATTCAGCTTGTCGTGATTTTACATTATCTGGATTTTCATGTAGAACAATACACTGCCGGTTTTTTGAATATCGAACTTGTCTGTTTAAAGTTGTCCTGCTTCCCTGATCTGAGTGTCTCACTGGGAATACTGTTGTCAATGTCACTTGACGACTGCATCTGAGCTACAGAAGCGAGGAAGTCACACGGTAGTCCAAAAACTTTGAACACCATCCGCGGCCTAATTTGCCATACATACTTCACGAAAAAAGAAAAGCGATTTCTCGTTTAAGTTCATACATCTTTCTCATTTCGTTTCAAGTAAACTTAAGTTTGTCGCAAATTTTTAAATGTAGAAGAAAATACTAGGTAANTAAATGTAGAAGAAAACACTAGGTAAGTTCTAAAGTGTGAATGAAATTATGGAACACTTCGTCATGAATCGAATTGTGAAGTAAAATAAATATCAACATTCTCCATTCAGCTTCTATTCAGTTTACCATCATTAGGAAGGGTATTGTTGTAGGAGAGGCTAAGGTATCGTTTGTCCGATAATGTTGTCTTAAGATTCATCGTCTATTTGCTATCTACCTGTTTAATACACCCAGACCACTTTATTGAGTGCCTGAGCAAATAATTTCTCTCTAACAAGTTTCCAAACCTGTGGACTGTTTCATCACGGTTTCTTTGTACGCATCGCATTACCTCAGGCACAACAGAAATGAGAATAAACTCTTTAACCTAATGCAAATTGAGAATTTTTTTATGGAAATCCCAAGTTGATATCCACTTTAAAAGCAAAGAAATGAATTTTAAATAGTAATTTGCTGAGTAAATGTTGACGTAGAAAACAATGGAAAGAGGTTGAGGGGAGTACAAATACCCCTCCATCCGACACCATTTGTCACTGAAAGAATGGGTTTATTTCCATGAACCTCACCACAGGTGCAATATTTGTCAGGTTATAAGCCATGATGTCCGCCCAATTGGCTGTGTACACATGGTTTTATGTCCGTTTATGATGACAACTTTTCTTTGTATATTATAAAAGGTAAATTTGAAAAAAAATTGCATTTAAATTAAGCTACTTGTGGAAAGCGAGAAGGTGCCAAGGTCCATCGTAAAAGGTTATCCTGTTGTCTTCGGTCCCCAGTTCGCTAATTGACTTCTTGTGTACAGGAACAATTGAAGAAAATTCAGTGACGTCATATCTGAATAGAATGAAAATCAGAATGACGCCAGAGAGAAGCACCTGTTTAAAAAAAATGTCGCCCTGTTGACATCGGTACTACTGAATAGAACCACATGCACTGCACGATTTGTATTCTCATAGTATTCCAAGTTGAATAGTGTTACTAGTTGTCAGCAAAGCAGCTCAGCGTAGCAGTACTGTAGATCTATTGTTTAAAGTTGCGTATTAACAAAATGATAACACTAGTAAACATTGGGGGTCTATCCTAATGAGTCTGCAACTGTTTTTCCATAGGACGCAAGTAAGCCGTTTTACCGATTTACAGATAAACCTATCTATGTTCAATCAACTATACTCACTCCTACGGTAATGGTCCCGCAACATCATACTCCCCCATGTAGCCATGTCTTGAGCGAAAATCAGAATGTATTTTGTCTAATTTCTACATCCTCATTTCAAGTTTGTATACGTTTTCTATGTTTGTCACTTATTTGTGTGTCGTTACGTCTTTACGTGGTGATTTGATATCTGTTATCAACACATATAACATACAGCCTACATTCGAAATGAACTTGGAGTAGAATTCATGTTTGTTTAACTACATATCAAGTTAAATTTGAGATAGAGCAGGATTTTTTCTTCCCCAGCGACATGGGTCTCAGATGTCAGCTGGATTGGTTTAGGCTCTGTTATCGCTTGTCTACATATCAAAATCGACAGCCAAGAAGGTTGTGTTTACCGCTTCTTATCAAGTAAGAAGACTGTGTATCGAAATTGGGTGAAATATAATGGAGCAAATTTCTGGACACAATGTTGTCATGCATCGTTGATGGTTAAGAATTAACCTGCCTGACTTGAAAACGTTTGAAAAAAGACCATGACAAAAAGCCTAAATGTGACGAATGTACCAAACGTTGCACAACTTTTATATTCAAAACTTCGCTTGAAATGTTTTATGGTTTAACAGATCACCCAGACACCTCAGTATAATTGTTCGTTTTTTGACATGAGCATGAAATCTGTTCTTAGTTCTTTTTACTTGATTACACGACTTTCATAAATCAGTTCTCTAAACAGAAGCTAAGGAGCATCTCATTTAATAAAGTTCAGATATAGATGAATTATTGCTACACACTGACTCAATTTAAACTTAAGATTTATAACTATTGCTCTAAAAGTCCACGTTAAGTATGCCAGTTGATAGCAAGGAATGCGTTAGTTGCGACGTGTTTGCGGTACATTGCATTCTACCCCATGTGTCCTCAATCATACGTGCACTACATACGTTGACTGTCATGACGCTCCAAGGAATGCCGATACCAGAAAATATCTTAAGTCCAAAATTAATGGATAATGGTATATATTCATTCGAATATCATTTATGCAGATTTAGTTATATTTATGAATGATGTTATATTAATGAATGTCTGAAGTGGAAAGTGTCTGGAATTTCTAATTGAAAAATATTCAGAATCCCGTATCACTTCTATTTTCCAACAATCAACATCAAACACCATCAAATTCTCCAAAGTAATGGAAACAGAATACACAAATTAAAAAAAAAACTCATAACTCAAAATACCACCATTTCAAATTATTCCATATTATTTCATTTTTATTATCAAATTCGCATATTCGCATTTTACAGTGGTTGATGTTTTCAGATACGACTGACTGCATGTTAAGGTAAAATACAAACTGCAGTTAAGATGGCCTTTTAAAAGTTCTATGGCGTTATCATATAAATGTGCATTCAATGCTACGTGAGTCACACAGGGAAAAACGGGACACTTGCACCATAACCATGGTCAATGAACTCATCCACATCGACCCTTATCTGCAGTACAATTTCTTTATAAGTAGTATATAGCTAGTAGATCGTTATCTTATGGCATATGGATATGTACCTATTTCTATTCCTAAAACTAACTGTACCATAATGAAAATGAATATCACTAGGATATGGTTACGTGTAAAACTAACATGAATTGGTTATTAGATGATTGACAACTCATTGAACTGTTGTTGTGCATGAAGAATATCTTTTACAGGCTTTGTAAAACGTTGTACAAAAACGTTTCCTTAGATTCAGCTTGTGCGTATCTACAACTATGGTGTGTACATTCATACCTGTTATATAAAACTAAACATAAAAATGACAGATTATGTAGTTTGAAGAAGTAAAATATATCTTCCTCGCGTAATTGTATTCAAATTTAAATAATAATTTTCAAAATTCTTTGATTCAGTTTTGACCGCTATTCATAAAATCGCTTATCACTAAAGTAAATCATTTAACTTTATCCTGTTTCCGACATTTTTAAATATCAGTTTTAAAACTGACAGATGACAAAACGGACCCACAACATAATAAGTTGCATAAAACTAGAAGAACCATACAGGTTTCTAGTATTTACAGGCGCTATATGATATTTCACTAATATCTATGAGCGTATAAAAATGAGTCGCTGATGCTCTCTTCTTTACACTATATTCACCCAGATAGCCGGAGTTAGGTAACTGTTCGTAACATCATGTTTGTTCATTTAACCGTAATGTAGAGATGGAATTATATGAGAATGGTCCAAATATTTCAGGAGTGAAACTAACTGTTATTTTCTATAGTGTACATTGGCTATAAATAATTGTAAACACGACGGTTTTGAATTAGTGCGTGCTGAAAATTGCAATGTATTTCGTATATGAGAAGCTGTCATTTGAGCTGACTTTGTTGACTTATGTTTCACATATATCGTGTCAAATATTCCGTACAGTGTGGCAATTACATGGAGGACACGATGAAAATGTTTCCAAATAGCACTCCATGGATAAATGAATGTATACTTCGAGGCAGACAAACCAGTTGAAACCAGACAGGTCTTTCTATTTTTTGACTTTTTAAAAGTTCATTGGCATCACAAGTTCTCAAAATGGCTGAAAAATTTGCCCTGAGAGGACATACCGTAAATAAGAGTGCGAGAGGATGCATGTATGTGGGCGAGGGGTTATGCCAATTTTTTTAATGCTTCAAAAATCCAAAAGTCGTGTGTTATAAGTTGTATGACAAGATTCAGTTTCTCATTCAAAAGCTGTCCAACGTAACACCATGTTGGTATATCTTAAGTCAAGTAAGGTGGATCACCCCATCAATTTTGAACAATACTTTCCTAGGATTACATCATCTATAAATCTGCATCCATATTGCCAATTTGATGCGCCTGCGCAGTGTGGGATGTAATGAACACCCTGTCTCAAGCCAACAGATAAAAGCACCAGTAACCAACATTAAAAATGAGGAAAAGAGTCGGAAACACAAGCCGTGAATATTTATCAATGTTATTGACGTCTTTGACCGTTGGTACTTTCTTTGTTATAGTTTTAGCTTTCTCCCTGATGCCTGTCACAATGCGTTTTCCGCTTTTAAAACTGCTCCTTATGGAACTTGTTCTCCGTCGTGCGCTGCTCTGCCTTTGAACTCGTCCTTGATAACCGTAGGATCCACGTGGTAAGCACGTAGTCATTCGTACGGGTGCTGTCGACATTGTTTGTTCGTTTTCATAACAACAGCTCTGTCTGTTTCTAAGACTTAGTATAGGGGACATTCTTGGATCTTGCATTTCTATAGATTCATCCTGAAAAAAATATTTAAATGATAAGACAAACGACATTGGCTTTACTCGCAATTACGCCAAGAATACAAAGTCAAGCTTTTGCAATACGTGCTTTTTTATGACAACATTTTATGGAAATCTGACAATAGTCAGGGAATCATTTCCTCTCCTTAAAATCGGTCTGTCCCAAAAGAGTCAGAACTTAAGTGAAAAAAATTCTGAAACCAGTGGCATATGAATAATTTTAAGTAAAGTAATATGTTTTTTTTTTCACCGCATAATTCCATATTTTCTATATTAGCTTGAATTATTCCAATCTGCATAAGCTAAAAAAACAAATAAAAACGTCTTAAATCAACATCGGTCATCTAGCGTTTATTTGTGCATCAACTGTTACCTCATCGGCGCTGGTCCGAAAGCCATTGACTTTTTGCTGCTGAAGTTCCTGCTCCTGCTTGGCCTTCTTGGCTTTCTTTTTGGCCCTGGCCCCCCAATACGTATAGTTTACGGCTGCGTACTCAAGCAGTGCAGCGAACACAAAGACAAAACACATGACCAGGTAGATGTCTATTGCTTTGACGTAGGATATACGAGGGAGGGAAGACCGTACGCCAGTACTGATAGTGGTCATGGTGAGCACCGTCGTGATGCCTGGAACACGAAAAACCGGGGACAGAAAGTAGCATTCATTTCATATACAATTGTGACTAATACTATAAGTGTGTTACGTTAGAGTTAAACACGCGAACCTTGTTGTGGAGAATGCGTTATACATATGAACTGCCAATGAGTGTTACTGAACGCAGTCATTATAGAAGAATTAAATGCATTAAAATAACGATTTGGTCCTGCACTGACTCACCTAATGCAACTCGCGCTGAGGTGGCCTCGTGGTTGATCCAGAAGGAGACCCAGGACAGCATCACAATAAGGATGGAGGGGAGATAGGTTTGGAAAATGAAGTAGCCAATATTTCTTTGAAGAAGGAAGCTGAGCGATAATCGTTGATAATCGCCTGGAAAGACAATGGTATGACATCAATTGTTTTAATTAATTTTAAGGGATGTGCCGACTTATCGTGGTTTGTGAACGTGTATTTAACCTGAAAGGAAGGTTGGTGAACATATAACTTGTAGATGGCATATTATTTTAAGACATGTCAATGAAGAACTTTTTTGTCATGTATTAGATACTAGAATGCTGCCAATCCTAAAGGTTCAAAATAGATAAAGCATTACTTATTATCAACAACAAAATGGTCTATTAAAAGATAGCAAAAGAGATGCCTATAACTCAGTCGAGAAAAGACGACATTAACTTACCCGTGGCAAGATACTGCACCGTGCTAATGGTTCTATACTCTACAATAGAGAACTGGGGGAGCTCCACGTGCTCTACGCCTTTAACGGAGTCCTTCCCCGCTTTCCAATACATCACTACGTCCTGCATAGCGTAACCATCTATTACGACAATGAGAAAAAATGAATAGATAAAATTATCCATGCTGTAATAAGGAAGTAGAGTAAAGAAGAGAGAGGCTGTAATGATGTATGATAATTTACTTTTAATAAGCAATTTCTTAGTTTAGCTTTTAATTTTTAAGGCGAATTGAGATTATTATTATTATTATTATTATTATTAAGAACAAGCAGATCACAGAATGCACATTAAATTCAATCAGATTTATATTTCATATCTCGCATTATCTTGACATTGTACTGGTCACCACGTGGGCTACAATATAGCCACCACTGTAGCACAACTTTCAGGTCTACTCAATACTGTCGGCAAAATGGTATTTTCCAAATGTCTATATCAAATTTACATGTTTTGTTTTATATTCGCTATCCTGTCGATTTAATTAACCGCAATTTTACTGTGCAACTTGAAGTTACAATATTGCTCGTTCAATTCAAATTTTAAGAGGCCTAGTTACCAGATAAGAACTCTTGTGACCAAACCAGTTTCAAACGTAACACAGAATAAGTCGCCTCTAGAGGTCGGTGTACATGTAGATATGATATGAAACAATGCACACGGTACGGTTTTATCCAATAAAGTAAAATGCGCATATCTTCAACAAAGAAGTTTAAATATACGTTCCTGACCGTGGTGTACTACCTAGAATAATGTCACTGCTGATGAATAGGCTTTGAATTGACGTTTTTGCCTATATTCTCTATTGATTGCCGTATGATCTTTTAACAACTATAATGTCGGCAAAAATTCTTTGGGAAATGTCAGAAGTAGTTTGCCTTGTAGATTCACTCATTGTGCAAAATATCGAGACTATATTGTATTCGTGGCAGACAATATGGTGACTTTCTGTTTGGCAATGGTTACGTAAGTTGAAAAGGCCGCCATTTCAAGATGAACTGAAATCATAAATTCATCGCATTTCAAAGAGACAACCGACTCCCAAGATGTGCCGTCAGTCGATTATTTCTATTAACTCAGACAATGTACATCGCCATTTCCCCATCGTTGAAAACAAAAGCCTGTTGTTTGGATCAATTTTGATATCCAGGCCTACTGTATGTGCCCAGTCTCTCACTTATTGCCGTTTCCAAACTGGTTTGTGGGCCATGGTGCTAAAGCATGTTAAATGCGAAGCCAATTTAGCTGATGAAAACCTCGAGCTTTAAATCAATAAGCTGTTAACGGTTTCAATAGACTAAGATCAATCTACGTTTCAAACTAAACAGAAAGGAGAGACACAATTGACTTTTTGACGACGATTTTCGCATAGTGCACCAGTTACGGGAGTATCGCGGTATGTTTGCTTAAGATCGGTTTTCCGTTCTAAAGTCAAGGTGAGAAAGTGGTAGCCAAGAGAAGATGCATTATCTTAGGGCACGTTACACACATACTTGTGAATTCCTTTATTCCGGCCAATTTCCGGACCCTTCCTCTACTTGATTGATGGCCCTTTGTTTTAATTATGAGATTATATTGGATAATTTGAAAGAACGAGAATGGTCAATAGTATCAGATACTCACAGCTTTCCATCTCTATGGTACAGTTCTGCTCGTCCAGTGGATAGTAATGTAAATCCATCATGCAAGCTAAAGTTGTCGTAAATCTGGAAACAGTGTACAATGGTTGAATCTCTACTTCATTTACAGCAAGAAAATTTGAATTCTTTCTTTCTGGTGAAAATGATTCTAAATTTACCGCTTGATAGCTTTTTTCCTTATTTTTTAAAAGTCATATATATATATATAACAAAGTAATCAAAATATGAACGCAGTTTCGCAATTATTAAGCAATTATTATGCAATGAAATCCAAATCAGTAACCCATCGTTACCTCATTCCATAGGCTATAGAACCATCTCCATAGAGTCGGACCATTTTGTTTTTCTCTGTTACTTCGTGCAAGAACGAGTTTTTGTCGTTGGCGAAAAACGTATCAGGGACCCAAATCTTCTCTGCAAAGTCCCCAGTAAGGGTCATGTATTCATCCGCGTTTGAGAACTGAAGTCTTTCGTCTCTCCAGTACTGATTTAGGTATAAAGTTATAGTATAATCCTGAAAAAATTAAAAAAGACAATAAAACACGGTTGATCGTTTAACATGTATCCTCAATAAGAAAACGGTTACTGCGTATAGTTTGTTGAATGCTTTTGTACCATGAACACGGTACGGCTTTTTTATCATGGGAATGGTATGGGATTCTGTACCATGTACATTTTATACCGTGAGTCGAATGGCTGACTCTAGGTTTAGGAAGTCCACAATATCTATTCAGATTTTAAACCGAAAATAAAAAAGCCCAAAAAGTCTCCCTTATAATATAGAAAGTAAAGCTGTCAGAATGAATGAAAAATCTTGAGTTTGCTTCAGACTCGGCTTCAACCGTTGAAAGGCACCGATTAACACAGGGAACATGTATATAAGATTGAAATGAATTGGTAAAAGGCTAGATAGACTAGAAAGGCTTAGGTACTGACCTAAGAAAGAATTGTGATTTTCATGTTGAAACACTTGGATTCGGATTGCCGCTGGCAGCTATTGTGATAGTAGTTATTTCTGAGAAATTATTTTCGTTCGATTACTGACAAGAGCAAATTAGAAAAATGAAAAAAAAATTGCTTCCTTAAATCATACATGTAATTCGAGAAAATGTAAACCAAAAATTCTGTACAAAAGTTCAAACCGTTTCCTGTGACGATTTCAGTCAAGAGCACTTCGTCGAGACATGTTCTGAACTAACATAATTTCAATTCAACTGTCAGTCATCAATGTCTGTCAAATTGTAGGTCAGAGAGGAAGCCGTTGTTTCTTTAAACTCATTGATACAACATTGGCATCTACACAAGTCAAGGGTCATAATGGCGAATGCACGTAACAGGCGAAAGAGTTCTCAAACACACCTGTCTAGAAAGTGCAAAGCGTACTCAAATGCCTGCATCGGTTTTAGGTTTCGGAACAACATATCCGCAGGCGGTCCACATCGGCAATTTTAGGATCACAAATTAGTGATTACAGGCAATAAAATCAGCTTTTCCATTTCGTTTCACATGAAAAGAATATTGCAAAATACCGTTCCGCTTTTGTACCAAGGTATTTTTCATTAAATGGTACAATCAATTCATGAAGTCGAATGATAAAAATGTATCCCACGCCATTTGGAGCGATTATTTCAGTTCCTTGACTTGGGGACGCTCCAGCAGCGAATAGATGCCTAATTAAGGTCATAAAACTGGCACGTGTTTGTGCTCAAAAATCGTTTGTAGGGGCGGGGAACAAAACTTCTCTACTGTGCACACTTGTACATTGTACTGCCCTCGTGATAAAAATTAAAACTTGACCAGTTTGCTTTTCTCCTACACAACACTGTATTACTAAAGCACCTCTGTAGAGATTTCTGGAATCTAACATAGAACATCCGTTATCACCAGGTTGCTTCCATTGTCCTTTACCTAATACATGTCGATGAGATTGAATGTTTACAAACTCCTATGACCAATTTGATTGCAAGGATGAACTTTGCTTGTGTGCTAGAATGACCAGTGTGTCCGATTTCTAATTAAATTTTCTTGAATATTAAGTAAATTTGCCGCATTTGGTATCGATTACGGCCTAACGGTGCCAAACGACCGGGGGTGTGGTGTTGTCTGGAACCAATGCCAGTCTCAACGATCCAGCTTGCATCTATACAGTAAAACACCAATATTTATTTAGACAACCCATTACAGAAACCATTATACATCGTACCAAACGTGAAACAGATTTTGTTACGTTATCATTACGAGATGCTTCATGTTATAATCCAGGGAATTTAATTACGTTGGATACTCAATGGTTTCGTGGCAACAGGATTCCTAGAAAGTGAGGTGTAACGAACAGCACATTTTTGGTGTTTTCTCTTATTACAAATTGTAGTTTGCATCAACATGGGAAGAGTCATTCATATGCAGAGTTTCTGGAAGTTTTTTGTAGTACACACGTAGTGAAATTGTAGTAAACGCTATTTTTGACCAGAGGCTAATGGTTTATGTGGATTAAGAAGGAATAACCCTGGCTACCTATAATCTGTTTCACTTATTAACATCATTTAGATTACTTTGTGGTCATGCTCTGTAAGATTGTATTCACTTAAAGCGTGCCGTGTCAAGATAAAGCGATTACATATACGACGGCCACAAATGACTGACGTCCTTAACATCATTAATTGAAATTAAATGAATCACAAAAAAAGAAGGAAAAAGACAGAAAAACACAAAAAGAAAAAAATGTGCTCAAAAATGAAAATGAATTTTTTCATCTGTTATGATGACCAAAGCGTTCAGGTTTACCTGAAGTTCTATAACGTATGTTCTAAAAATCGGAAAATATGTTTTAAAGGAGTTTGCAGTGATCGAAATGCAAACAACTACTTCCTGCTTCATAACTCACGCAGCGTAGATTTATTAGCAAGTTAGACTCTCCACCTAATTTGTGAAACAAGGGAAGCCCAGAGCAAATTGAAGGGTGTTTTTTGATACGAAAAAGCGATAAACGTCAATGCATTGCCACTTATAAAGGAAATTCGTTACTCAACAAAACAGGACTAAATTACATTGCGTTATATGCGACTGTTCCAAACACGGGTTTTATTAGACTCGAACTGTGCGCCAATTGCCAGTACAAGACAACCCCGAGGGAGCTTAAACTTTAAACCCCTTCAAAACACCACGGATCTCTACTTCCAGAGGAGTTAGTCGCACCGCGGGACTTAATAACGGTGTTGTTCGAAGTAGCAGGTATTCACAGTTAATCCACACCATGCGTCTGGCTATTTGTCCGGTACGTATTGGAAATACCATCCAGTGTGATAATGGCGAAGACATGGGATTTATCAGTCTCCTTGTATCCAATGTAAGGGGAAGCGGCAAAATCTCCCCATTCTTGGCGTGTGGGTGGCGCGAGCAAGGGGATTACAATAAGATGCAGCGTGCCTTTGGACAATACTCGAATATGTATGTGCACTGCTCTTTCCGTTCTTTAAGTTTGCTTAAGAAAGTGAAGAGCCATCTGTGACTTTGGATTGGTTTTCTGGACAGTCAATTTTTTATACTTTTTTGACCTACATGCTTTTGTGCCTTTATCAAATGCACATAAGTGCCATTGCTCATATATGCAATCATTGTCTACACATCTACACATTAAAAAAAAAAAAAACTACTGTACCAACTACATTATTTTTCACCTTTTCCATCATTCCTGCATAATGAAGTTTTGCTAAGAAAAGTAACCTTAAACGGGAAACCTACAACGCGTTTTACACAAGCGCGACTCTGAGCAGCTACACCCACGTGAGTAATGGCATCTTTGACCAGAAAAGATGAAAACCTGTATGCCCTATTTAAACCACAGTCAATAAAATTAACCTCCAACACAGTAGCTTTTTTGACACGGAAAAAGTACTGTTTCAACACATGTGACCCTTTTCACACCAACGTTGTTGAAGTACGTGCTCCAACAATGCCAACTTTTATGTAAAATAACGATTTCTAGAACTTTAAGGTACTAATAGCCTCGGGCATCTGTTCCTAAGGTAATTAAACGTGCAATCGCATTAACTACCCGGGATACAGTGTTCTTCACCCCCAGTCATTACTCGAAGGCACGGAGAATGCATCAGTCATCGATTATGGAAAGGAAAAAAACTAAATCCTATACTCTCACAGATAATACTCTTTTAAGCGCCAACTAATGATTATAGAGGACGTGGCGAAAGTAATCTAAATACTATCAACGAGCGCCGCAAATTATCGTTTATATCAGCAAGCGTTTAATGAGACAGCCGTGCAATTTTTACGACAGTGTGAAAGGGTTGTTATTTCATCAAAATCTAGTGTCGTCTTGGATAAAGTATGTGTCGTAACATATCTGCCTCTGACGTATCTTTAAACACTGCCCATACATGTATAGCTAAAACTAAGTGGACAGTGATTGTGTTGTCTTGTGTTCAGGAAACAACATCAAATGAGGTAGGAAACATTCGCAAGGAAACTCTCTCCTAACTCGATCAAACGACACACTCCAAACACCAATTAACTCTATCAAAATTTATACGAAGTAAAGTGTACGGCTTCCATGGTTAAAATGGTCAAGATTTAAATTCCCCATTCTCAACAATAACGTATGGTAGAGAAAGGTCTGGTGGAAGAGCTTGTGAGCATAGAGAGAGCAGGAGGTAACTGATTACATTGGTAAATGTATTGAACCAGTCACTTAATAACATAATAAAAGCAAGGGAATCAATTATTTATGTCCTGATTTGGCAGGAATTGATTTCATTTGGTTGATTAATTGTGGGCATCTCCACCAATGAATTAAATCAAACGCAAGACTTTTTGTGGATGTTTAATTGGCGTTTCAAAAGAACGTTCTATTTATATACTGACGGTCTATGTTGCCACAGGTTTCGATTTTTTAAAAAATATAAACTCAATTTGGTAAATTCAAGACGTAAATTGCATCCAGTTAATTCTGTTGTAACCTTTATAAACCGAGACTTTCTTTCTTTGACGGAGAATTATTAAAAGGTATAGGAGTCCATGAGAAGATGTCTTGCTTCACAGTAGTGTTCACAAATCAAATATATGGTTGAATTATCCTAAAGGTCTTCTATAACTCAAAATCGATGTTGGTACCAAGTACCCCACATTTTCGTAGCGGAGTAATTCTTTTATTAAATTAGTGAAACAACTTCCCTGCTTACAATATTTTGTATAACTGTGATATCTATTTGAATTGGCCAACATTTCAGCATTTTATAACAAGTGATGGGAAGATAGTTATGATGAAATCAATATGCCACTGTCTATAGGAAAAACGCACTGTTATTTCCTGGCTACCCTTCTTGTTGAGAAGGCTATTTGAAGAATGAAAAAAAGACAACTTATCGTTGGAAATATTCTGAAAAATGCCTTTACTTGACATGCCTTAAAATTAAAAGATTATAAAAACAAGAGGGCTGTTATGGTTTTTTGACAATCCACATTATCTTAGGAAAATCAAAGAAAATCCTCTGCATTGGT